TTAAAGCAGGTTAATAATAATAATTAAAAAATAGATTTAAATAAAATAAATAAATAAAATAAAAATAACCCATCACATCTTTCTTTGCTTTCACTGGCTGCATGCAAAAACAAGCAAATATAGCGTATGAGAAATTGACTTTTTAATGAAAGAGTCCGAATTAATGGGGAGAAAATTAAAGGGGGAAAATTAATAATTAGTATTTTTTCTGCCTAATTTGGACCAGTTACAATCCAATAAACAAAGGTACTATGTAAATACCATTTTATATGAATACTACTATATTCATCTGAAATCATCAGTGCACCACAGTCATATTTCTGTGTTTTACAGGTGGGCCTCCTGCTGCAGTGATTTCAGTGTCTACTAAGAGTCTGCAGTGTTCCTGTCCTCGCTGTCCTGCCGACTGCACGTCCTACCACTGGTATCACACACTCTTTAATGACCCACAGTCACACAGAAGACTATCTGAAAACCACCAGTCCATTACCGTCGAGGAAGAAGGACTGTACAGCTGCCAGTTTGACTGCGGGAAAGGTTTCTCCCGTTTCAGCGATAGTTACAGCTACAAAGGTACTCATACATCCATATACATGCTCTTTTGACTTCATGTTCATAAGCGAGTGTTTGTATTTTATTACCATTTTAATTTTAGTTAAGGTTTTTGTAATTTTGTTGTCAAATGTATTAGTTTTTTTTATGTCTATATAGGTTTTTTTTTTTCAGTTTTAATAATTTCAGTTCCTCAACTTGATCTAATCAAAAATGAGAAATTTCAAATAATTTGGCAAATAATTTAAATAAACTAAGTTTTAGTTTTATTTCAAGTAGCAAAAATGCTTTTTTTTATGGTTTTAGTTTTCATTTAACTATAATAACACTGCCATAAACACAATGTTTGTTTGCTTTTGTAAGATGAGTTATGAGTGTAGACTATTTTCTCTGGTAATCAACAGAAGAACTGCTTTTCAAAGTGTCTGTGACACCCAAAAGTTTCATGTCAAAACACAAACACATGATGAACATGTTCCGTGCATATTAATGTTAAGTGTAGCAATGTGTAAATACACTAGTCACTTTCATTTCTCACTTGGCGACTGTGCACGCACACTACTTCTCATTTTTATTTTTAGAATTCATTTGCATCTTCTCTCTTTCTGTCAGCACAACCTGAGTCAGAGACTCCAAACGTGATGCCCATCATGGTGGCGGCGATTTTGATCGTTCTCGGGCTGTTGATCGTCTTGCTGATCGCGCTGAAGCGCAGACGTGGAGGAAGCAATGTCCAGGCGACCAAACGGGATAAAGACAAGACGACAGGTGGAGACTATGAGCAAATCCAACTCAAGGACAAGGATCAGGCAGTTTATCACACGCTGGGCGAGAACACGAGCAAGGACCAGGCCGAGGGGGGTTACGAACCCCTACAAAAGAGGCAGGAGGAGGGGGTGTACCACTCACTAGCACCTGGAGAGGGTCAGGGTGAAGGTCAAGGTGGGTATGAGGCTCTTAAGAGCGTCAAAGCCGAAGTGTACCAAACACTGAGTTCAGCTGACTCGAAAAAACCAGGAGGAGAAGCCGAGGGAGGGTATGAGCAACTTCCTCAGAAAGACAAAGATTATGAGGCCGTGACAGTGGAGGAAAATCCATACGAAGAAGTGAAGAAACAGATGGGCAAAGAGAAAGAATAAGGGAATCTGAGAAAGAATAAGCACCACAATAGTCAAATGGCAATGCCTGCATTCTCAGGTCAATGTATTAAATGTAATGTATTAAAGGGTACTTGGCACTCCACCCAAAAAAAGAGAAATAATTTTCACGTGCATGGACACATGCACACACACATATATATATATGTTTCTTCAGATGAACACAAACTAAGATTTTTTTATAAAATAAGGTTAAGATAATATTCTCAAATTATAAATTTAACAAAAGAAGTGCCACCTTTGGGATACGTAGAGATGTTCTGGGGGGTGAATGCAATGATCTTGAACTTTTAACCTGCAACTATATCAAAATCCTCAAAAGTGTGTTTCAGGAGATCCCAGATAATCCACTGCAACTCGCATTCAGATCCGACTCTATTTTGATCAGAAACGCCACTTTATACCGTTACATCAATTCTTGAAGGACAAAATCAAATACCTAACTTTTTCCCCCCCTAATTTCACACTGAAGCATTTCCATAAGTTATTGGTGAAGAAATAGTCTAACAAACTTTAACTTTAAAGTGATTTACAAAAATATATATATATAATAAATA